GTGGGGACTGAGCCCTGGCTGCTGTGCAGTCACTGTGGGGACTGAGCCCTGGCTCCTGTGCAGTCACTGTGGGGACTGAGCCCTGGCTCCTGTGCAGGCACTGTGGGGACTGAGCCCTGGCTCCTGTGCTCTGGGCTGCAGAGGAGCTCATGGCAGTGTGGCTGTGCAGGCTGCTGGGACCCCCCCGGGCACTGACTGGACAGAATGCCCCGTGTGTCAGAGCATACCTTGAGCTGGAAGAAGTACTCCTGTGCCTGCTGCTGGCTGAGCCGCAGGGCCCTGGCGATGAGCGCGCGCAGCGCCCGCGCCACGTCCCCGGCCATGCGCACGTCCCCGCACACGTAGACGTGGCCCTGGCCCTGCAGCACCTCACACACCACGGCCTCCAGCTGCCTCTGCAGGACATCCTGAACGTAGATCTTAGAACAGAGAAAGGACCATCAGACGAGGTTCCTTAAGTGCTACTTGGCTCTTCTAAATTCAGGGTGGGTCTGTGCTCTAAGGTTCTAAACGCCCCATCTACTCCAGCAGAGAATAAAAATGTCTTCATCCTGCCTTTACAAGCCCCTGATTTGGAAGCTGGGCCTGTCTCTTGATTAAACTAGAGTAGACTAAGACTCCTGTATCTGGCAAAGTCTCCTAACTTTCCAGGAGAGCTGAAAAGAGGATAGCTCGAGTGCTGTTGTTTTGTTCAATCAAGATTTCTTCTACATAAAATTAATTTCTTGGTCACCGTGTCATTGAAATGGGGACAAATGGCCAGAGCCAACTGATTGTTAACTCACAGACTGATCAAATCTTGCAAAATCTAAGGTTTCTGAAAATGTTCCAGTTTCTAGTTTCAAAGCCTGTTTGCATTGGAAGTGCACTGAGGTGTTATATTTATGTAGCTTGCTTGTGCTGGAGTGCACAGTGAGATTCCCCTTCCTTTGAAGGAGTGAGGCCTTTTGTCACCTGCTCACAATACACCAAAGCAAAATACTAAAATTCTTAAGGAACATTGTTAAACAGAGTCCAGATCTCAACTTGAGGGGTGACTCTGGAAGGAGCCAACCCTTAAAGAATGAGGGAATCAGCCTTACTTTAGCTTGGTCAGGCAGTCTGGAGTAAGCTGTGTAGACCTCTTTCAGGACTCCCTTCCTCTTCATTTCCTCAGTTTCCTCTCTGTAGAGGTGATCCAGGTCTGGCTGCCGGCAGCCGAACAGCAACGTCATGTCCCCTCCTTTGATCCCTGAGAGCAACAGGGGAAGGTGTTTGTCTGAGGGGCAGTCACTGACACAGGACTTACAGAGACACAGGGGGGACCTCCAGGTCCCCAAAGCCCTCAGGAGCACCAGGATGGTCTCCAGTGGGATGGATTAGCTGTGCCAGTGCAGTGCCCAATCATGCTGGGGTGCCAAGTCTCTGTGGGGTTCCTTGGCTGGGTCTGGAGGTGTCCCTGGCTGCAGAGCCCTCGTCTGAAGGACTGAGGATGTCCCTGCTGCCAGCTGTGCTGGGCCCCCCACGGCCCCTCCACGTGACAGTCCCCATGAGTACCTCTCTGCTCCAGGTCATGGAGACGCTGCAGCCAGAAGCTCCGGAAGGGAGCAATCCCTGTTCCCGAGCCGATCAGGAGGCAGGGCTGGGCTGGCTCCTCTGGGAGATGGAATTCATTAGCACTGAAATGTAAAAATACATGCATTAGGTAATGAGTTTCTGATGGACTCTCAGTGGCAGTTTCCTGACTCAGTCTGAGCAGCACAGTCTCCAGTCTGAAGGCAGTGATGGGCTGAACAGGGTGCTGGGTGCTCCTTGTTCCCCCGGCTTTCTGTGCTCTGCAGTGGATAAGCTGACACTGAAGATGGGGTCATATGAATGGAATTATTTCAGAACTTTCTAATGATTCATGATTTTACTCAAGACATGGTAAAGGATCTCATCTCTGGAAGACAGGGGATCCCCTCTCTTCTCAGACCCAGCTATTCCAGCTTGTACTCACCAGTCACTTAATAATATGCAAAGAAAAAAGTCCACTGAAGAAGCTGAACTAAGAACTGCTATTTTTCAAAGTTTTAATCTTGGTTTTTCCCTGCACTCCCTCACTCACCTGCGTATGAAGCACAGAACTGGTTCATCAAGAGCTATTGTATTCAGCCATGTGCTGCAGACTCCATGGTGCAAAGGCCCCTCTCCATCTGAACAGAGCAAGGGAGAACATCTCTGTCAGCACTCAAAAGCTCTCCGCTTTTAAAAAAAGCAGTTTATACTTAAAATTATGGTTTTTAAATAAGTGTATGTCTAGTAATGATTTATAAACCAAGGATACACTGATGATGGTGCAGGATTTTAGCAAATCCTGGCCCAGGATGAACTGCACTGCAGTGTACTGTTCTGCAAGTATCACAATACACAGTTTTTGTTACAGATATGCTTCATGCCATATAGCAGACACAGGATTTTTCTGAACCACAATGCAGCCTAAAATATCATTTAATTAAGAGAGAAATGCAAACAACAGTTCATTACCTCTTGTCCTGTAGTTTACAACTGCAACTGTCAGATGAATCTCTCTGGCTGTCATGTCACAGGAGGAGCTGACAGAATAGTACCTGGGCTTCAGAAATGGCAGCTGAGTCAGCAAGAAGGTTGTGGAGACCTCAGCAGAGGGAAACTCCTCCAGGACCTCCATCATGTTTGGGCTGTTGTAAAACTTCCATTTATTGTATTCTTCTGTGCTCTAAAAGCCAAAGGGCATCACCACAATGTTACCAGGTCATTCTGAGTTCAGGAGATCAGGGATATTTGAAATATCCCTTATAAACAAGATTCCTGCTTTACATTCAATTAAATATGCAGGCAAATCAACAGAGAGTTCTCAAAACTTTTCCAAGACCAATACTGGGGTTTCCTAAGAAATTGTTTGATTTTTGAAAACAGAAGTCCAGGATCCCAACCATAAAGTTCTCAGACACCAGGTCTCTTGGTGAGGATGCAGAAACTGAAGCAGAATCTGTTTCTCAGCTCCCTGTTATGGGACATTCACAAAACTGTGTAGGCCCAGGTCCTGATCCCTACAGAGCTTTGCTGAGCCCAGAGGGAGGAGCCAGCACTTACCACATCTATGAGCCTTTGGTAGTTAAACCCACATCCCTCCTACTCTCACAGTACCAAATTCTCTGACAAAAATCTCTACCATCACGAGGTGAGAGCAGGCAGGCAGTGACCCACCCAGAACCACACAGGAAACACCAGATCTGAACCCTCCTGATTCCCACGCCCAAGCTGAGCCTCCAGACGACCCTTTCTCTCACCATGGTTGGCTTTCCAAAAACACAGAACATGTAACAGAGGCATAAAAATCCAGTACCATCTCTACAAAATATTCTTAAGCTTCTGCTACACAGTCAAAGGGCATCAGAGGGCCTGGTATAAAGTACTGCAAGCAGAACTCCAGCCCCAAGGCTTACCTGACACAACACTTCCAGCCTCTGTCTGTCTCCTTCTGCTGTCACCAGCTGGGAGAGTTTCTTTAGCAGTTGTTGGGAGGGTGGAGTAGTGATATCAAGCAAGTACGTCAAAGCCTCAGGGAGTGTGCAGGCTGGAATCTTTCTGTCACTGGTCCAGTAGCCACCTGGAAATGAGGGAAATAAAAGGCCACTTGGCAATGCCCATGGTATTTGACAGCTGTAGAGCTTTGCAAAACTCAGTGTCTTTCAACATATGCCTTCAGGGAGGTGCAGCAGGCCTAGACCACAGGACTCTTCTGAAAGAGGTTAATGGGAGGTTTCACACATTTTGCAGTGGGAGGATCTGACACAGAGAAGTGCATGACAACAAAACACCACTTGGAAACTACAGATCTTTAATTTGAGGAAACTATCTTTCTGTGTGCCAGAATCCCATGATTGTTCCCACTAAGATGGGGAAGATGGCCAGGACATGTAAGTCTATTTTAGGATTCTGACATGTAGCAACAATAAGCAAACTGTCAATTAATTTAATTGCAGTCAATGGCTAATTTAGCAACTGAATTACAAACAGTGTCACCTTGGGTCCCTCTGCAAACTCTGGTGAAGTCACTATGGACTGCCAGAGTGTGTAAAATCAGAATTAAGAATTATAAGAATAACTAAAAAGCAGCAACAAAATTCTACTGAAACTTAAGAAACATAGAATCAAATTCTGTCAATAAAAATTCTTAGTTATTTTAAAGAAATCTGTTCAACATCCTCTGTTATTTTGTCTAAAGAAAGCCAACTTACCATCAGTGCAGGTTTCAAGCCTGATAGTCTGATCAGCTGGGGGGGCATCGTGGACACGTGCAATGATGCCATGGACTAGTTCTGGCTGGTTGCCTGGGAAAATCCCGATGTGTTCTCCAGGCAGGTAGTGCACTTCCTGATTAGCCTCACAGGAGAGTTTAACCAGAATGGTAACACGACTGGATAGAGAAGAAGAAGAGATGAGACAGATCTTGGTTATGTTGACGGGATTTCCCTCGAACTGTGCAGAGCAGGAATAAATCTGCAGTGGCAGTTGGCAAGAGCTCCTGTATTCATCACCAAATACCAGACCAGCTTAGGGCTTCATGGAGACTTAAACAAACCAGAGTCCAGACATGTGAAGGACTTGTATCCAAACAAACCAGGTGCTGAAGTGCTGCCTGATCTGTCCCCTACACAATAAACATGCCTGGAATCAGCCAGTGGAAGTGTGGCCCCAGTGCAGACTGAACAGCTCACATACTTCTACTAAGGACAGTACAAAATTCCTACATATTTCTTAGTAACTGCAGGGAGAAGATGTTTATAACCAGGCATTTTAGATGTTTAAGATTTTAGTAAAACGTAGTATTACAATATTCAAAAGAATGAGGTGTCATACCTGGACTTTAAACTTTGAAGATTCTGTCTGAATTTCAGCTTCATGGGAATTATATCCTTGGCATGAATGCTTGAAAGAGCTGGTGAGGAAAGAGGACATGACTCATGGTAACTCTGTGGTCAGGTTTGTTTAAAATGTCTTCAAAGAATATGCAGAGAAGAACCGAACGTGGCTGGCCCTAGAATGTGACTGACCATCAGTCAGCTCTGTGTGCTCTAGTCCCTGACTAAAAGCAGTTCACCTCAGCTTTTCTTCCTCTGGGGATGTTACTGTGCTGGAAAAGATCATTTATGCAGTGTAAACCAGTGTCCTTTTTTCTCTGACCACTACCCCTCATTATATGCATTTGACCATCTAGCAGGGCCAGGAGCACTTCTGCCAAACCTTCACAGTTCAGACCCCCTGAAGCAGCAAAGAAAGAGGGAGGGGAAGGTGGGAGCAATACCTTTAGCCAGGTCCATGGGCTGAGAGTCATACACTATTCTGTAACTGGTAGGATCCCAGCTTTCCTCAGAGGTGTAGATCTCAGGCAACTGAATACTGTGTCCTCCATGGATGTTAAAAATGTCACAGGCAGCCTAGAAAAAAAACCAACACAAAAAATGAGGCTATTCACAGTAAAAAAAATAATCTTAGCATTGTCATACCCTCATGAGGAGCTATCAGCTTCACAGATTGCTATTTCCTACTGCTTCTGTTGAGTTCAGTGATGTTACAAGGCTCCAGTGAGTTCAGTTCCACTTCTATGCCAGTATAGGTAAAAAAAGTTCTACTGCAAAAAATTCTGATGTTTGATGCTACCACCCTTGTTCATACTGACCATTCCTTTACCCAAAAGGGTTCATGCAACTTCATGTGAGTATTAAAAAATAACAGAAAAGGGACTCAGTTCCCTCTCCAACTTAGGTGAGCAGTAGAGAAGAGGGGAGTTCCAAACTCATGTATAAATTCAGATGTTTGGTTTCCTTCATTTTCCCTCATTTTTATGGGAAGCTAGTGAATACTGAACTAAAATGAATGAATGAACTAAAATAGGAGCTATATTTCTAAATTCACCTTGAAAGCACTGACTGCCCAGGTGCGAAAGGCTTCTTCTTGCCCACTGAGTTCATCCCCTTCTCCGACTGGAGTGAGCTGGGAAGCCCCGAGCTGGGCCAGTTTTTGGTCAATGGCATGAGCAAAGGCACAGAACTCTGGATACATGCTGGACCCCAAACCAAACACAGCATACCTGCACATGGAAATAAAAACAGGATTGCTGTGTTAAGCTACATGAAATGCAAAAGGACTCAATAACATGCAAACCAAACAACAAAGTATTTTTACCTAATTTTTTTTCTCAGCAGTTTCAGTGTGAACAAGGAGTTCTTCAAGGTCTGCATAAAAATTCATAAAATACTTAAGGTTAGGAAAATACCCCAATTTAAAACAGAAGTGCAACCCTGATTAATATCTTACTCAAGGACATGAGACAAATGAAAGGGTTGTCTTTGGTGTCAGTCTTTGAGCTGAGTCTCATACACACTTCTGAGTGGAACATTACCTTTCCGTTACCTGGAGAATCTCCATTTCCAAAAGTGCTTGTAACCACTAAAAGAAGTGTTTCTTTTTCCAGGTCACAAATATTGTACTCATCCATGCACAGAATCTGGAAGGAATAAAGCTCATGAGACACTGTTAGCAGACGTAAGAGCCTTAGATAGCTCTGGTGTCAGACGTATGCTGACCAAACTGACATGGCATTATGCTAGATGAATACAAAACCAAAGTTCTAGTCCAACTTCTATTTACTGAACATTCAAAACATAGGTCTGGAGAAGCCAAATTTCTTCCTCCATGCAGTGTGGATGATTTACACTCCTTACCCTGGTGTTGAAGGCACAGTTGAAGAGGCTGCACAGGGTGTTGGCGAGTGTTTCTGATTTCCCCGTCTCTGTTGCAAAGATTACAGTGACCTTGGCCCTGGTGGCCATTGCTTGTCGCATGAGTGAGGATGCAAAGAGGACAGCCCTGGGGAAAGAGAACCATATGTAATAATTGATTCACAAACAAGCTAGGAAACACTGATCTTGAGCAAGGCTGTTCCTTGGAAGATGGTGCAGAAGCAGCACACTCTAGATAGGCCTGAACAAGAACCTTAGATATGAATGTGTGGACAGGTAAGGCTGTGATTCAAACAACTCAGGTGGTCCCTACTGTAATAATTGATCTTTTTTTAAAGTAGAACAGAAACACCACAAGAATAGAATAGAATAGCTGGACAAAGCATGAGGAGTCTGATTTGAGCAACTTACTTTGCCAGCATGCTAAACTTTATTTCTTTTTTCTTTGGCCTCCGGGTCTCATCACGCCACACATGTGTTTTCCATGCATCCACCTTTAAAAAAAAAGTTAAGCTTTGACAATTTGTACACGAATTTGTATATCTTTGAATTTGTACACAATTTGTATATCTCTGAAGGGCCAGATCAAATAGAATCTGTATATACAATCCACTGAGTACAAATACAGGATCAGTCTCTGTAGCATTAAACTGCATTTTACTTAAAGCCAGAGAATTCAACAGAACTAACATCACCTTTCACATACAATAGCTCCTGTCTGCTATTTCTGAATCTCTCCAGTGAACTTTAATTACCCAGGCCTTGTCACCCAGACTCCTTCAGGTCTCATATTGCGTCTGGACTGCTGAGCTCGTCTACTAGATTCAGCTTTTGGTTTTGATGATGTGTACCTGGTAGTAATAGAAGGGGGTGAGGACATAGTTCAGCATCTCCTGGTGGAACACGGGCGTTATGCTGCCTGAGATGGGAGGCACGATCCACACCCAGTCGGCCGGGCAGCCGCCCCGCGCGCGGTACTCGCTCTGCATGTACTTCAGGAAGGACTCGGAGGCCGAGTGGTGATCCATGATAGTCACATTCTGCTTCTAGAATAATTGCAAAAAGAAAAGCATACATTGAAAAGCCTATTCTGCTCCTCTACCTGATGTATTTAAAGTAATCCTCTTGCTTTGGTTAATATTTCAAGGACTTTACTCAGTGCTGGGAAATAATTACTATCAGATAATAATTACAGATACAGACTGAGGCGCAGGCCTTTGATTAAGGACTCTTATATCTTTTCCTTAACATCAGCATTTCCCTCTCCCACACTGGGAGTGCATGCTGTAAAGCCTCTGATTCACTTTTACCCAATTCTCATATTGTCATGATATATTAAATAAACTGGAATTGAAAATAAAATATATTAATCCAATGGCTTTACATAGGTTTTGACACATAGATAAGTGTCTTAAAAGGATGAAAAATCTTGCCCTTAACTCCCTTTTGTTTTTCTCTCCCTTCTGTCTTCACCTGAGAGGAAATATGGATTTCTCTACTTTCCCAGGTGTAAATCAAGAATAAGTCTTGTAATCTCCACTGAGTATTGGGCTATTGGCACTACATTTGTATAAAGTTGTTGCAAGTGAGAGGAAAAAGGGACACTCAGTGTTCAGTGTCTCTCCCACACTCATTGACTCACCTGGAAGCTATGAAGCACAGCCACATTGATCTCTACAACAGCCCGGTCCTTCCATAACGATGATAGTTTGTTTGTTTCCAGTCCCATTCTCCTCCCTACCTCCTACGGGTGAAAAAGGGAGAGAATAGGGAAAAGCAAATTTACTATATGGAACTTTGACCCCATGATTTATCTACCTCATCACCCTAATATGCAGGAAAAATTAGTCCAGAAGGAGGAAGAATTAGTCTCATGCTGGGAAAGTGATGGCAGCAGAAACACCTGAGATCAAAGGTAAACTTGGATTTTGGAGTTGTGGTTCCCGAGGCTATTCCAGTTTCATAAAGGGAGTGGTTCTCTCCCATCCCCACAAACACTGGTAGTGTCTCCTTTCCAAAACAAGTTAATTCCCCCTGCAGACCAACCCCCTTCCACCCGAGCAGGTACCTTCAGGATGTTGTAGCGCTGCACGTCACAGAAGTCTCGCACTCCTATCTCTGTGCCCATGTACCAGCCGTTGAAGGGGCACGCGGTGAACTCCAGGCCCCCCGCCTCCAGCAGCATGTTGGACACGGCAGGCAGCGCATACCACCTCAGATCCAGGTCCTTGAACCACTCGTACCTGCCAAACCGCCACTTTGGTTCATTTTGGTGGGTCTTTTCCTCCTTAAGGCAATAACCACAAAAGCCCAGGAAGACAAAGAATACCAGTTCCAGAAGGAATGACCCACAGAGCAGGGTCTGCAAAGCTCACAGCAGTTTTCAGTGCAGTAACTGAGAATTTCCTGCTACAGAAACTGCAGAACCATATTACAGAGTTCTGCAAACTGCAGGCCAGTTCCAAAGCAAACAAGAATTAAAAACCAACGAGAGAAAGGCAACAAACACTTTGTTATGAGTGAAGCTGTATTTTACTTGTGTATTACACTGGCATAAGAAATGATGATTTTTAAAATTCTGAATATGACTGAAATGTAGATGGGGGAAAAAAAGATTTCCAATAAAACTGCTATTGGCTTCCTTAATTTAAAATCTATTTCATTTTTCTAACAGGCATTTTACCTTTCAGGACAATTTACCAACATTTCATCCTGACAAAGAACTCATAAAGTGACTGCAACAGGCACAGCCCAACAACCTGCCAAGGTGAGGCAGAGGCAAAAATGCAATTATCTAAATCTTGCATGCTTACTTTGGATGCTCCATTGGCACTTCAAGGACAATTTCTGGAGGTATTTCAAATATTTCTGGGTCTTGGCCGTTTGCTTGGAGGACAAGTGGAAGTACATCAAAGCGGCCATATTTCGGCTTCCACCCAAGCTCGATACACAACTGCAAATACAGAAAGTATATTTTGTGTTTCTTTCAGGTTTCCCCCTCCAGATTTAAGACAGAAGAATTTGAACCCCCTAAAACCTGCTGAGGTAAATTGTAAGCGATAAAGGTTATCCTTCCCATTCAAACAGTGTTGAGACATTTGTTGAGGTACTGTTTGTGTCCTTGGTCGTGTCCTGACAGGGCAGTATTAGCTCACCCTGTTCTGAGATGGAGGACAGTATTTTACATCAGGACTGTACGAAATTCCTGCACCTCGAACCTGTGGGACAGAGCATCCCATTCACTGCTCACCTCCCTACCACTCTGCATCAACACGCAAGGAACAAACCCAGGAGCTGGGTTAGCCCTGCTGGGAGCAGTGAGGCTGATGGGCAGGTACCTGTGTGAACTCTGCACTGGCAGGGTCTCCCAGCACGGCCCCCCCGGGCAGGCGGTACCCGGCGTAGCGGACCAGCTGGCTGTTCCACACCCGGAAATCGTGGTGCCCGTCCGTCCGCTGCGGGAACACCGTGATGGCTGATCTGCACGAGAGACAGGCACACCCCTCACACCACGACACCAAACACGAGACAGGCACACCCCTCACACCACGACACCAAACACGAGACAGGCACACCCCTCACACCACGACACCAAACACGAGACAGGCACACCCCTCACACCACGACACCAACCACCGCCTCATTTCTGAGATATATATTGTTACCAACAGAAAATATTTTGTATTTCTAAAATAAACATCAGTAGAAATAAAATCATTCATCCTCTCTACCCACCTCCCCAAATCTCAAATTGTCTCTTTTCCCCAGGAATCGCGAAAGGTTTTGCGACATCAACCATGAAAGTTAAAAATTTCAAAATGGCCGATGGGTCACATTAGAAGAACATATAAAAATACCAGGAGAATTAAAAGCAGAGACGAGTTGTCAAAATATTTAGATAAACCATTCAGGTATTTTTGATGCCAGATCTGGATGTGATTTTTGTAGTGTAAAGTTAAAATTAAAGAGACCTACCTTATATTCCCATTGTTTGTGGCGTACTGAATATGACGACAGATATGCTCAAACATTTCCTGTGCTGTTTTACAGTCCCGTGCATCGAACACCTGCATGTTTCCAACAGAAATGTAAAGAACAAAACTTACTTTGAAACAGTAATGAAAGCTTGTTATTTTTCCTGTGCATTTAAGGAAAGGAAAGATTGTAGCTTCATTAGGAAAGGTTCATTTTTATAGTCTTTATATGCATCATTTTCACACACAACAATCCTCCAAGGACCAAAACATGCACCTGGTTCCATGACATACCTGGCTCCTGTACTCACACTCCCACATGTTTTTATTCAGCTATGAAAGAGAACTACAAAAAATGATCTTATGATATGAATACTAGGGAGTCCTCCTCGGAGCAATGGCACGTTCTACCAAAGTAAAGGACATTCTTCCAATTCCCAGCAGAGACTATTTGGTCCATAACCTCTGGATCCTCAGCTTACCTGTAGATTGGACCACTGGATTCTCCCAATGCACCTGGGTGCATTCCTCCAGGCTTGTTTGGTAGCAAAGGTCAGCTCATCCTTTGTCAGATGGTAGGTTCCTGTAGTTTCTATCTCCCTGGTCACTGTTTCCAGCCGGCCTGGGTATTCTTCCATTTTTGGTCTTTTGAACAGGAAACAGCCATGAAAAGAAACAATGAGAATTTCATGACTTAGAACTGATTCAAAGTGCAGACATTCTCTTTATGTTCAGGGTCAAGAACACCCCAGACATTGCTGAAGCCATGAAGCTTGTGAGCATCCTTCTGCACGAGCAGACTTCCACTGGCAGCACTGCTGTTACCTGCCTGAATGCAAGGGAGAGGATTTCCAGGGAGGGCATTGCCATCTGGGTAGGCTGAGATAGGAAAAGTCTGAATAAACACTGAGAAACCTGTTGCTGTTATAAATCTGCACTCGCTGCATGTAGACATAAATGACTCTACCCTTTATGAAAACCTCCACTGCCTCACAAAGGCAGCAGTTTCACTGGGCTGCAGGTGCAGAAGGCACTGTCACTGTCCCCCACCTCCCTCCACTGCACCCCACTCCTGTCCCCAGGCACAGCTGTCATCCAGTGCAGCTCTGGGGGCTGAGAGTTTGACCAAAAGGCAGAGGGGATTCCAGGTAATGGGATGAGTTAAATCCACAGGACTCTGACTGAGAACTGCAGAGGAGAATTGTTTCTGGCTTTAGAATTTCAGGACTTCTGTCCCTATGGACTGTGAATGACAGTTCACTGGCCTCATGAAGAAGCTAACACACTAGAAATTTCAGTAGTGACACCATGCTTTCACCACCCAACACATGCATGAATTTTTCACAGGCTTTTCTGTGAAGGTTTTCAGTTTAAATTTGGATTTTGTAGATTAATTTGGAAAAAAAAATTGTCAAATCACAAGCAAATGAAAACCAGAGAACAGGTGAGCTTTGTGCCAAAGGTAGGATGACAGTGACTGTCCTCTCAAAGTTCCATTATTGTCACAGGGACACAGCTCTTCTGAGCAAAGTAAGTAGGATTTTCATTCCTGAGAGGAAGTGCTGAGCAATTCCTTTGTCAGGGAAACCAACTCTAAAATTCTTTAGTTTGATAACAGAGAGTGAAGTCAAAACATTAGAAAATATCTATCACAGCACAGACAAAAATTGTTTTGTTGGCTTACAGACAGAATGAAAATAGCCTGCACTGTCTGAGAGTTTTCACATTTTCAGCAAGATGAAAGATCAAGGGCAAGCATGTAAGATACTGTAAGTCAATGTGATCAAACAGCCACGAGCAGAGACACAGAGATGTGGCAAGTACAGCCTGTGTGTATGACAGGCACTTTCAGAAAGATTCAGAGGGAAGAAAGCTTTGTAGAAGAGTTCAAAGCATCTAAAGAAGTGGCCACTATTTGGGTGAGTCCCTTTGAAAGTTTGATAATGTTTTCTGATGGGATGAGCAAACACTGAATTGTTGCTTGAAAGCTCGTCAGGTGAAATGTCACTGCAAACTCTTGCACCTCAACCAGCTGTTCCAGCATTTCCTGCAACAAGATGCCTCTGGACCAGGACCATTTTTGTGAGAACCTCTTGGCATGCTCACTGAGCTTATGCTGATAGCACAGAGCAAGGCTGAGAGCCAAGACTGGCCTTCCAATATTTGGCTAAAGCCTTGAAAGGAACACAGAGAAAAGGTACTTGGAACAGCACAGACAAAACACATCATCCACATTATTCACGTCTCAGACTGATCTGAGTGGAGCTAATCCCAACCCATGCCAAGAAAACAGCAGGTAACACTCTGTAAGAGAGCCCTCAATGCACTGGGATGTAGCACACTCCAAAGGGATAGGGCTGAGCAGTGCATGGTACAGAGTCCACTCCTGTGTTCCCAACCCCCTGCACTGGCACATAGAGCATATGAAGTTCAGGGGTAGTTTTATTTAGCTTTTCTAACAGTCCTTATGTAGTTTTTAAATGCATGCTATGCAACAGGAACCTCCTCGAGTCTCACACATAGGTAGGGAGAGGACTTTTTTACACCAAAAATAAAGGTAAATTGGCTTACTCTTTAAATGAACTGTAGTACTGCTTGACAAAGTCTATTGCCTGAGGCAAAAGCTCTTCCAGTGGAACTGGCCCATCTCTGGTACCTCTCACCTGGCCCTTCGGGGTCATGAGTGACCCTTGGCAGGCTTTGGTCCGGCAGTTGATAACCTGAAAAACAATAAAATGTCAAAACCCAATGTTGCACTCTGTATTTTTTAAAAGTGCTGAAAAATTCCTGTTCAGATTTCTGTATTTCACCTCCTTTGCTGTCAGGTGTAGTGTGTCAAGAAAGCTGGATCCATTTTCCAAGTTTCTTATTCTTAAATGTCTTGGACATCTTGATATTTGGTTTGAAACTTTGATATCACTTTGAGGGAAGTTCTGGACAGAGAAAAGATAGAAATATATACTGTCTTCAGATCTATTAAACATCTTGAAGTTTCATTTTAAAGTTTATTTGACCATTAAAAGGCAACAGATAAATTCAAGAAACTAGATATGTGATTTGCTCCAACATGAATATGTATTTGACTACAAAACTATTGAGCTAATCAACAGTTTGACAGGAAATAGGGGAAAAAAGTATTTTTGTACTAATCAAAAAGTATCTGCCACTGCAAACACCTTTATAATTTCAGTAAGGCCTTGCCTCTGAACATAATAGTTGCAGTCTCAGGAAAATAGTGCACCAGGCAATTTTAGAGACAGGACAGGTTTGTTACTAAAGGCTGGGTCTGCAAAGGTGAATAAAGGAATCAGCCACCCCAATCCCCACAGGCTCACCTCTTCCCTTAGGTCTTACCCAGGCTCCCTTTAGGTCAGAAAAGAACTTTCACCCAAAGATCTCCCAGCAGCCCTAACCTCCTGCAACCACAGTCAGGCCTCACAGAGAACTCTGAGCAGTTTTGAGCAGCAAGCCCCACTCCTGAGCTGTTACTATCAAACAAAGATGCTGGAACACACCTCTCCCTCCTCCCTGGCCTGTGCCGAAGTCACGACGGGCAGCACCTTGATCTGCTTCTTGCTCGGATCATATAATTTGGCATCATCCTTTTCTAAGCTTTAAAAGGGAGAAAGAGAATTTAGTATAAGGTGACATGCTTGGGTTTGATTAGTTTTGCCCTCAGCATCAGCAGGGAGATGCTCAGCACTGTCTCTGAAAGTTGTGCTGAGCCCATAAGCCAAGCAGGGAGGGGAGCAGTGGACCAGGAGTCAAAAGGAAAGCCAGAGTATCACCCTTCCCAGGGCACTGTGTGGGAAGGAAAACAACAGATATGAAACCTGAAATAATTAACAGCTCGCAGACTGAGAAATTTGAGATGCATCTGCAACTTATTTTATAGAGTACCTTGTATGAATCGCATCACAGAAATACTTTACCAACTTAATTACAGCATAAATAATCACTTTGCTATTTTTATAGCACACAAATGCCTTCTGATAATACATGAAACCATTATAATACCAAATAAATTTAGAACTATGAAAGATAAAGCAAGATGATTTATATCCTCAATGACTGTATAACTTAAACACAAAAGTTTAATGTCCATTACCAAGTAACAGCACCCAGGGACCCCCAGGGACAATATTCTTTTGTTAATATTATTGTTTTGGAAACACATTACACATTTGGGTTCTCCAGAACCCAAACTACTTAATATCTTCCCTTTTCAAATGAAAAACAAACTATGAAACTATTAAAGGACCAGGATCTTACCCACGGATCTTCCTATTTTTCTCCACGTTGTTATTGAAATCCTTCTCTCCAGAGTACTGGCTCCTGGCAGCACGAGATTTGAACACAAACTGCCAGGGGCACAGCATTTTGTATGCTTTACTTGTGGTCTTAGTTCACAGTGCTGAAACCTTGTTCTGTGTGTTATGGGAACACTTCTGAGGACAGAGAAAACCCAACAAGGTCAGTTTTTACCCAAGAGGGTAACTCCCTTTAACATCACTTAGAAACTCCCCAGACTAACTGATCTGACCTAGCTAACATCCTGTTTTTAAATGACAATTGCTTGACACTCAGAGTAGGGATACCTAAACTACCACTGCTTTGTCAGTGTAATGCTGCAGCCATGTATTAATCTAAAATACTGGCAAGAGAATTTCAAATGTCCCCCAGTCGTGTAAAGCAGCAAAAATCGGAGTCTGAGCAGACCAAGGTTAGAAAAGGGATGTGAAATGTTGCTGTGTTATCCACACATCACACAGTAATGAAGAAAGAGAGAAAGAAAGAAAGAGAGAAAGAAAGAAAGAAGAAAAGAAAGAAAGAAGGAAGGAAAGAAAGGTTAGAAAAGAGAAACAAAGAGAAAAAAGGAGGAAAAACCCCCAAAAAACATAAAAACAATACACAAAGAGAAAAAGGAGGAAAAGGAAAAAAAATTAAGAAAAAGAGGAAAAATAATAATAGGGAAAAAAAAGAAAAAAGAAGAAAGAGAGCAGACTCACATTTCCCTTCACTGCATCAGAGTAAGAACCTGCTTTGTGTTCTGCATCCCAGGGTTCTGTGGATAACATTGACAGTGTTACCTGTTATATGCACAAACCTTTAAATCAGCAGAAACGGGGGACAAAGTTTTCAGAGCAGCTAGACAGCTCGGGATAGAGCAGGAGACTGAGTCCAACACTTTGTTCCTAATACAGAAAGAAAGATACAGTTTGTCATATAATTACTTCACCTGTGAGCTGCAGTAAATGAATGACAGAATGAACAACTGGCCACAGTGATTCTTACCGGGCTCTGTGAGGTGCTCCCAACCCTGCCAGAAGAGGCTCTTTGTCAAAGTTTCTTGACTTTAATCTCTCAGGCTCTGTATCCCTCCTGGGAGGCAAAAGCATTTTATACTCCAGACCATGTATGCAAAACAGCTGAGTAAGGCTGGACATGGAGACTGAAAAAAAAGGGGGATTCCCAAAATGTCCTGTATTGGAGAAGTGGAGGGTGTGTGGCTGAGCAGCATTACATAACCTGTGTGAGGAGGGCAGGGCAGCCACCAGCTCCTGATGCTGGAGCATCCCATCCTTCCCCTGCTGCCACAGCCCAAATTCCTGCCTGTGCTCCACGGGAACGGCAGGGGATCACCTCAACACCGTTTGCAACCTTGCACAAGTGTTAAAATTAAAATAAATAAATCCTGAAAGGCTTCTTACAGCTTGAGCACTGTGTGGCCAGTCTCCATGCCTGTACATTACCTACAGCTGCAGGAAGAGAGTGAGCAACTTCAAGAGAAATTTTAGAGCCAAAGAACTTTACAGTGTGGGCCAGGAAAGCATTTAATCAGGTGATTGTAACTAAGGACAGGTATTTTATATTTTACAAAACTATACTCCCTCCTTACTTTTGGTCAAGTTTAGTCAACAGAGTATGTGCAGAATTCCTTGCTCTCAGGAGCTGCCTGCTCTGCCTGTTGCTGCCTGCAAGCTTTGTCCCCTGGTGCTCTTCCAAAGCACTAGGAATACTAAAAGGAAACTGCAGTCCCTGCAGTGTAAACCATAGCCACTGTGCTGTATGTGGGAATAGCAGCAGGACAGCTGGGTAGGATTGTTGAGCTGATTTTCAATGTTAGATAACACGTACCTATTACAAAGCCAGGCTTCTCCCGCAGTCTGGAAGGCACAAGCCCTCCAGGACCAGGGCTGGCAGCAGTGCCAAGTGCTGCCAGGCACCTGCAGCCCACAAGAGCAGTGCCAGGCCAGTGCACCAGCAGGGATTTTGACTTGCTTTATTTGTTCCTTGGATAACATTATGTATGGCTATTTTAAGGAATCTGTTTACAAACTAAAGATGATTAATATACCTGCTGACTAATATGAGGTCAAACGTGGCACAGTGATAGCCAGAGAGATTTACAGGTGCCGACTGACCAAAGATCTACAGAAATGAGGCCCAAGGCAGAGAGAAATGAGGAAACACACGTTCATTTTTCACCTGTCACACTTGTATTGGACGAGCTCGGGCAAGGTGTTTTCTTCTCCCTGTGTCCAGTTTCTGTGTTTGAAAAGTTCTTGTATAAAGCACTGCTAGAGGCAAAGCAAGTGCTGTGCACACGTGTTCATGCACAAGATCCCCTGTATATAATCCAGGGTTGCTAGACATCAGCCTCTTGAAAAATAGACCTGAGTTTTCTGAGCATTCATCTTCTTGGCTGTATCAAGCCTGTGCTGCTTTGCATCCACTTCTCGTGGATTTTCACAACTGGATTTTTTCTTTAATTTGATGCCTTTTCTCTCATCAGAATTAGCGGCAACATCCCTTTGTTTAAAATATTCCAGACATCTAATCAGCAGCAGAAATGATGTGTGAGCTGTGTCTCAATGTCATGCCATGAAGTTCTGGCTTTACATTCTTCTTTGCATTTGCTATTTTGTCAGAGTTTAAAAATCCTATTTGCATCCTTCCCTTTCTCATTAACCTCACTTTTCTACAGAGCATGGGGAATCTTAATGTCTAGTACAGTAAGAAAGAACATATCTTAGTAGAAATTTAATTATCTTAGTAACATATCTTAACATATCTTAACATATCTTAGTAGAATTATCTTAACATATCTTAGTAGAATTATCTTAACATATCTTAGTAGAATTCAATTCTGTCCAATGGTTTCTAAGCCTTTAATATTCACCTTCCTTATTTCCCTGGGCTTGGAGACTGCTGAAATCCAGGAAAGGCTATGTAGGGATTGGATATGAAAAATCAGATTTGGGATAACCAGAGGAGAAGAAATATCTTTCCTTAGGAGAACTGTTTAAAGGATTGGCCAAGGTACAGCCATTCGGGGAACTGCTTAATCACTCCAGTTGCTCAAACAAGATCTGTTTTTTTAATCACTGAAATCAGTAATAAAACTCCCCCTGTACAGTAAGAACAAGAGAGCACCACTCATTTCTCAGGTGGAGTCAGAGATTAACTAAACAAGCTCACTGTGCACTCCTTCTACAAATATTCTACACCGCTTGGAAGGTTTTTCTTTCAGAAAATCAATTCTGCACATATTTCCTATTTTTGCACAGCCACTTCTGCCTCTGCCCTATGAGAATGCAAGAACCAGTTGCTTTCCTTGCATTAAACTTTGATGAAAGAGGTGCCCTTTCCAAGCAGACTGTTTGACCTATTCAATGGCATGCTGACCATGCTGTCATTTGGAGTCAAATTTTGTTTTGTTTCTGAATGTGCGATGGTCTGCAGTCTCAATAATCAACTTTCTGCTATTTCCTTCCAACTAAGCTGTATTATGTGTCTGATACTATAATATATATCATATCTGCAAGATTCTGCATTAGCTCAAGCTCTGTTTGTAAGGTTGCTGCCCTAAGCTCAGGACATCTTGAGTCTTTCAAGCAAACCTGACAACAAGGGCTGATTTTCCCAATTTCATGGAACCCTGAAGAGACAATGTTCAACTGTCCCAACTTTTCATAGGTTACCAGTGAATTTTTTCCTAACTCTTTTTTCCTAACTAACCTAACTATTGTCAGAATGCTGTGTGTGACAGCACAGTAAGTACAAATAACTCTGTAAACACTTGGCACATCAGATTTGTTGGGGCTTCCCTTGCCCTTTCTATGCTAAGGGTGAAGTAAGTTCCATTTCCATCTACAAACTGATGGCTCTGTCTTTATGTATTTCCTTTCCTGAGGAAACATACTCTGCTTCCTGCTTTACCACTTGATCACTGGCTGGACAGGAAATTTGGTCCTTAAACCAGCAGCAGCATACAGTCACTAAAAAAGGACTGGGAAGGACCCCCTCATGGCACCGGTCCATCTCCCTGCCCCAGCAGCAAGATCAGCTGCAACAAGGTATCCCTGGAGCACCAGAACACAATTACAGGGCAGTGTGAGGAGCAGGACTGGGGCAGAACAGCTCCCTGGTAACCTGGGCCAGGACTGAGGAATCAGAGAACCAGTGGAAATGGGGCGGGAGCACAAAAGGCATTTACACCCCGAAATGCACTCACGGGTTCTGTGAAATGCTCACTGCTTCTGTCACAAGTGGCCACTTTGTGGTACAAATAACTCATTGGGATGGCATTCATTCACTTTCTGTTCCTTTTCTGGGCTGAAGTGCTGCTTCTCTACTGCCTATGAGGCTTCATTCACATTTCCCAGCTTGCTGTCACTGAACTGTTGGAGAGACATTTCCCTGGCAACACTCTAGTGTGTATTTACTTTAGTGTGTATTTCATACTGAAAAAGTTTTTGCAAGACAAGTATTGTCTCTTTGTGCTGTCTCCAATGCCTGGCATGGCAGGCACTGAGCCACAGGAAAGCCTCTCTGGACTTTTTCAACTCAGAGGAAAATAAATACATAAATAATGGCGACGGTGAGGGTTTGTGGCACAGCCTGGGTGCCAGATCACCCTGGGATCGTACCTGCAAGTCTCAGTTTGCCAGTAACATTGCACTGCTCATCCGAAAATGTCATCTGCAAAAAACACATTTCTAGCCTCCTAATTCCTACACTAAATATTAAAAGCTCCAGAAATTGCTGAGAAAGCCTGTGACACATGGGTCGTGAGGCATCCAGCAGTTGTGTGATAGGAAATTTTGAAAAGGTATAGGTGACCCACTTCTGTTGGTCTTATTTTTCAGTGCTTGCAAATCTCAAGTAGGTACATTTCAGTCACTGTCCTTAAAGCTCTCCTGAGCATGCTGAAAATGTTCTGTACTAAAGGATGAGGACAGAAACAGTGACAACTGCATATACAAATCACACCTGGAGAATTACAGGATAATACAGACTAGAAGTTTCCAGTTTCTCAACCTCCACTTCTTTAAATGTCTAATGGAGTCATGTAAAGTGAAACTGGTAACTCCTATAAAAACGCAAGACTTCAGTGTTATCAATTTGTTACATTTAATTTAGAACATTAAAAACAAAATAAAAATAATTTTAAGGACACTTTCCTTCCTTATGACATTCCACCCTTATACACACAAAAGAAATTGGGCTGTGTAAACCAACTCCCAGGGACTGTGTGTCTTAAAATGAAGATTAAGGCAATGATACAAGAAAGCTTCTCACCAATTCTCCCTGCCTTTATTCTCTGGAACCTCCACAGATCCACTGGTTTTATTGGAAGCTTTGTGTGGTTTCTGGCAAAGAAAGATACAATTAGTGACAATAATAACTACTGTTTAAAAAGCTGCTCCCAAATATCTCCTCTCACTGACTACTGTCAATCTTCTTCTTTTATACTGGTTTGATTTTTCATTTCCCAAAGAACATTCATTTGGTTTGAATCTTCCCCCAGACTTCACAAGATGTCAACTCTGGTTTTTTGGGTGTGTTCTGATTGCTTACTGTTCCTTTAAGGTTTTATCATATTCACCACAAACTGTAGTCTCTTCTTCACTGGCTTCTTCATTATTTTGAAGTTTTCTTTATAAAGTGGGGATAAAAACTCTACCAAAAGCAAAATAAAAGGCCCAGGCCTACGTGCTTGAAAAGATGCAAATACAACTAGAATCCCAGTCTGGACTCCTTTTTAGTTTCTGCAGATTGAAGGGGCATTAAAAGCAGCAGATGAGGGTGGGAAGGGTAACGTTTCATTTGCCACCTCCTGCTCCTCAGTGGAAGGCTGCACGTCAAATGATGGCAGGGCAGGGTGGAAAATTTCCCTATGTGAACATCTGAGGGCAGAAATGAAAGTTAAGGAAAGTGCTAAATTTACAGTGCCGTGCCAGTAAACCCACCCCTTCCTGTCTGCTCGGGGTCAGCTCGGCCAAACTCAGATGTGCAGAATAACAAAATTCCCTCATCAGTCACCCTTTCCAAAATTCCAATGTGTGCATATCACAACCAGGGGCGAGGAAGTGAGGCAGGGACAAAGGCAGGAGACAGTCAATAGCCAGATTTTGTGTGCCTGGCTGCACGTTGGCTCACGCAGAAGCAATTGCTGACACCTCCTGACTCACTGCTGGGATCCTCAGCCACGGCTGCAGCAGCAAAGGCATCCTTTAGGGAAAGCATGGCCTGAGGAGGGAACTCCAATTGCAGTAACAGAGCATTGGCTGAGGGCAATTTCTAACCAAGGACAGGTAACAGAAGAGATTTGAATACTGGTTTTCAAAAACCCCCAAATTTATGGACTGACATGAAGAACAGAATACTGAAGTATAAAAGTAACTTCAATTCTGAACATTTAAAACTTCAGTGTGAAAAACACAGAGCACTGCTGAAACAATTCCAGCAAAACTCCCAGGCTTGTCTTTCCTGCTGCCCTTGGAGTCTCTGCTGGTGCCCTCTCTCCCTGCTCTGGTCTCTCTCTGCTGGTCTCTCCCTGCCCCTGACACCTCCTTCACCTGCTCACGTGTTTGCTGCACATTCAAAGTCACACTTGGGCCAGTGCATCTCAGTCTATCCACCACCACTGCAGGTTGACCTGCTTACCATGTTTCCTGGACAGAGACAGGGGCCCTCTCAGGCAATTTTATGGCTCTGCTTTATCTTTATGAGTCTTTTTACTACTTAAATTGATTTTAAGGACTCCTTGCTAAGCACTACAGTTAGGCCAGTCTTGCTTAGGCCTGCACAGCTTTCAGTGTCTGTGTGAATTACATCACATTTCCAAACCTTCTGTGAGAGTGAAATTTCCTTCCTCTGCCCTTTCCATAAGGGAAACAGTGCCAGAGGGTGGGGGTATGAGCTTACAGCTCCTTTTCTAGCAACTCTCTCTCTTCCCCTACCAAAACAGACAATTCCTGTGGCACATTCTTCAGCATCTTCAGAGTATTTTTAATCAGTTTTCATTGATTTTGAGCTGCAAGTCCAGCATGGAAACACAGACAGCACTAATACACTGAAATACGGACCATTTCCCTGGTCAGTCTCTGTTGAGCATCACAGAACACAACTTTCTGCTACTCTGCTGCCACTTCCAATTCACGGACTGAATATTTGGACTAATTTAGGACATTTTGTCTCCCATCACAAATCTAAATAAAGATATCAATGTGAACATATCCTCTCACTGCATCTCCTATTTTTTTGAATTTGTTTGTTGGTCATCCAATGATTGTGTACCTGGAGGAACACTCACCCTACACTGTCAGTGAGTAGGGGACGAGCAGTCTTTAACATCCAGCTCTCTTCAGGCAGTGCTGCCAGTGTGGTGCTTCCCTGTGTCCTGGTGCTTCCCTGTGTCCTGGTGCTTCCCTGTGTCCTGGTGCTTCCCTGTGTCCTGGTGCCATGGCTCCTGTCACATACACAGGACGTGCTTTTGAAATATGGTCCCACAAACTCTGACTAATCCTCCATCACTGAATAAAACAACTATTTCTTCATTTGGAGCTGCCTAGCAAGCAAACCCAACGTGTAGGTGAACCTGAGGCAGCTGCTGGAATAGAGTACCCTGAATAGTGCTGGGATTTGTGGAAAATTCCTCAAACATAACTCCAGTAACTGAAACAAATCCCATAAAAAACTGACATCATGCAAAGGTTGGAAGGGATTCCCAGCATTTCATCCAGTTCAACCTCCTACCCAAAGCAGGGTCAGCTGTGAGGTGAGGGCTTGATCCAGATTGGTCCTGAGGACTTCCAAGGAAGGAGACTGCACAACAATCTGTTGTTACTCTACTGCTAGGCTGTCTTCATGGGGATAAAGTTTCTCCTTATACCCAGCCTGGACTTCTCATCTCAGCTTCTGCCCACTGCTCCTCATCTTCCCACCAGGCACCACTGCAAAGAGCCTGGCTCCATCTCCTCAGTGACCTCCTGAAAGCCACTGGAAGGCTGCAAGAGTCTTCTCCAGGCTGAACGAGCCCTGTTCCCTCAGCCTCTCCTCATGAGGCACAGGCACCACCTTGGTGGCCCTCCACTGAGCTCACTCTTCGTGTACTGGAGATCCAGACTGGACACAACAGTCCACCAGTAAAAGATGCAGATACTCCAACTGTGCTGCTTTTCCTTCCTCACTCCCTTTCCATCAGAATTCCAGGCTAGGGACATACTATTTAGCTTGGTTTTCATTCAGTGAGCAAACACTGCTGACTGAGACAACTCTTGACCACACTGACAGAGAGGATGGGCTCTGAAGCTACATTTGGAAGGGGGGACATCACTTGGGAGTTTGAAAAGTCACTTATTAAAAATACAAAAAAGAGATGTGGAGGAATGTGTGTTGACACAGAGCAAGATCAAATTCTAGAACATGATGAGTGGCTTTATAGAGTGGGTTAAATCACAGGGGTTAATTATAATAAACAGTCCTAGTACACACATCAAAGAATCATTACAGATTAATTAGCAGGTGCTATTATTAGCCATAACAATTTTTGTCTCCATTTCCAAAAGGATAAGATGCAAAATAATTACTTCATGCAGTCTAAATGCTTCATCCAACTCTTGCAGTGAGGTGTATTTGGACCACAGGCACCAAAGCCAGAGGAGCTGGTGCAGACCGTGTACTCCACTTAAGGGACAAAAATAGTAAGTTTTTCGGTCAAAAACATGTTCTTGCCTAACCTTGGTTTTATGATGATTAGTTCTGACTTAGTCACCTGAAACCTGGCAGAAGGGAACATAAAGGGGAATTTTCTGTCTTTACAACACTGTCCACCAGGTTTCAGGAGCTCAAGAGCTCTCTGACCAGCCAAGCTAAAAATCATTACATCATTTCCTTCTTTCTTCTCACGTACGAGCTTTGAAGGCTTAATTGCAATCTGAGAATTCTCTGAAAGAACACACTGTTCCTCTTCCTAGTGGGGTTTTGGGGATCAATAGTTCCTGTACTTCCATAAAGTGTCTAAATCCTCATCCAACATAACATCTTTGATTCCAACTTCCTCCCAGGTTTTTGCTTTTGAAATCCCATTTCCTTTCAATGGAAGAGCAAAGCTGCATGTGAGATGACCGGCACCCTGAAATGACTTCACACTGACAAGAGATAAATCCTCACAGGTAATGGCTTGATTTGGCAGAATGACCATTGCAGAGAAGATGGCTTCTCAAGTCCCTGCTCACACAGTGTCTGACGGCTTTGGATAAGAACGCAAAAAGTGATAGTTTGTGCATGGTTTTGGTAGGGTTTTGTAATAAGGTCCTACCCAGTCAGATGATCATTTTGCAAGACACACAGCATCCAATCTCTGATTAACCAGCAGAAGTCAGTGCACCATGGAGAAGGAAGGACCCAGGTCAGTGGTAAATGAGAGCAGTATAAACCACTGATCTGCAAACCAACAACTCATTTTTAAATAGACTGTAGGTTTTAATACTGATAAAGTTGAAAACAAGCAAAAAGGAAGGTGGTTATTCAGCACTGAAAGCAGCAGCAGGACCCTTAATACTTATCTTTCCAAAAGAGCATATGAGCATGGGAAAAGAAAGCAACTAATTAATGGACAAAGAAACTTGAGAATTCTTTCTGCCTTCCCTTCGTGTAGCAGTTGTAACAAGGAGTGATGCCTCTGGGCCCAGACTCCAAGCTGACTTGCTGAGGATGTGCTGGCCTTCAGCATCAGACCCACCTCTTGAACTTGTCCATCCAGGCTGCTGCAGATGCTGTTTTGTAAAACTGCATAAAGAAAACCATTTCAATTTTAATTCTGGTAACCATGGTTAAGCACAGGCCATTTCCCTGAGCAATGAAAAATGGTGTAAGATGGTGAATGCTACTGAAGTACAGGGGATTCCTTCCCTTTGATTCCAGTGGCTTTGGCTCAGAACCCTTGAACAGCATGGGAAGGAAACATCCTGGTAAGCAACTATCTAGACTGGCTTTGTTATTACAGGTCAAGACAGAATTTGATAGAGTACAAAGGCAAGATTTGTGTCTCCCAGACAGTCCCTGTGAATTCCAGAGCTCTGTTAAGAGTGTTAGAGTTCTACACAGCAAAGCTACATAATTATGAGCTGTGATTTCTTCCCAATACTTACGAAACTGAAAACACTTCCTAAATAGTAAATAAATAAGCCCCTCCCCATATAATGCAACAAAGTGAGCTGATTACAGGTTCAGTACTGTACCCAATCTGTTCCTTTCAAAGCCTCTTTGTTAGATCAAAGGGTTTATGGTTCCGTTCCTCTCTCAACCAGACATGGATTGCATTCAAATTACTTTTTATGCTAAATATCACTCATATTGTGTACATTTTTTGTATAATTACCTCAGCTATAAAACCTGCACCTTTGCTTATCAGAGCAATGAAGTTGGTGTGCAGGGATTGGCTCTTCATCTCAAGTTTCATAATACACACTGGATGCCTTTCACTGCGTTGAATCAATTAGAAACTACCAGACTTGGCACAGTGTGACATCCCACAGCCTCTGTTCTCTCAGCTGGGAGCAGGAGTGGAGAGCTCTGTATTTTTAAACCATGCTTCTGAAATAGTTGCAAAATGATCATCCCCGTGCCGGTCCCTCCTAACTCAGAGCCACCCTGGTGGGGAATACCCCATTCCCTGGTCCCTGCCACCCAGTTCCAAGCTGTCAGAGAGGGGCTCTGTGCACAGAAATATCTGGCTACAGGACAGTGGGACACAGCCCTGGCAGTGGGAGCCGAGGGGCAGGGGAGGGAATGGGGGGTTCAGAGCTCTCGTGGGCTCTTCAGCAGTGCCCAGGGCTGAGCTCCCTGCCAGCTGCTGAGTTCTCTTGCCTTGCCCACGACAGCCCAGCTGTTCATTGCAGCTCCAAGGCTGCACCACCACCCAGACAGGGAACCCAAGACTCCACATCCCCAAACACCCAGGGCAGCACATGACAGAGCAGAACAGAACTGACCTGGTGTTCCTCAGGTTAAACGGCCACACAGTGAAATGTGTAAGATTATCACCAAGTATAATGTTGAAGGTCTCCCAAGTTAAGCACCTAAAAAGCAATCTGAGAATTACTTTTGAAACTCTTGGCCATAAAGGTCCAACATACTCTGTGAGATACTCCCGGCTAAGAGGACAAACTTCACAGAGCTCTTGGGGGAGAGAAAGCTCCAAGGTTCAACTGCATTCTGTACAGTAAACTGTGATTAAACACACCATTTCTGTGACCTCTAAAAATGGAGAGAAAAACACAAAATAAAAGAGAAAGTAGATCTTGCAGTTGCACAATTGTGGAAAACAAAATACTCTGTTTGTCCTTGTTCCTTGTTCCACACCATCTGAGACATATCTGACTTTCTGTAGATGAAATGACTGCTAAGAAATTGAAGGCAGCCTGGAAAAATCCCAGATCTTGTGTGATTTGACCTAATGCAGAATATGAGTCAACCTCAGCAGCTGCAAGAATGTGTCAATTTTGTATCTTTTAAAATCCATTCTGTAGAAGAGCAGGAAATATTAATCAAAATGCCAGCACTTTTCAACTTCTCTTAAGAAGGATACCAGAGACCATAAAAACCCCAAGGTGTAATAATAAAAAGACATAAAGTGCAGTGGTTTTTAAACAGATGAAGCTGAACTCTGGCAGAAGGAAGACTACAGGTAATAAGGCCATTCAGTCCAAACTTGTCCAGCTGGAGCTGAAAAAAAAATATTTTATATGGGGTAGTGATATAGCCTCAAGCTGTGCCAGGGGAGGTTCAGGTGGGACATCAGGAAGAATTTCTTCATGGAAAGGGTGGTCAGGCATTGGAAGGGGCTGCCCAGGGAGGTGGTGGAGTCCCAGGAGGTGTCCAAGGAATGACTGGACATGGCACTCAATGCTCTGGGCTGGGGGACAAGGGGGGGATTGGTCACAGGTTGGACTTGATGATCTTGGAGGTCTTTTCCAACCTCAGTGATCCTGTGATTCTGTGAAATACCCAAACCAAGCTGGCTCAGAAGTTACTAAGTGAAAAACCAAAAATCAAGTTAATCCTTCTCAAAATGGACCCATGCAGAACACAAAGGCAGGTTCTTCTGGGGGAAAAGGCACCCAGGTTGATAGTTACAGGATAGGTAAGTTCACTTCTTGGGCCTCCCAGCTCACAGGCAAGGACAGCAGACAGCAGCCTCAGAACTGTCCTCTTAGACCCTACCAGTGAAGTGAGCAATGCCAGGGGCCTCTCCCTCAGCAACAAATACAAACATTGTTAAGCTCGTAGCTGCAAGTGACAGATGCCTCCCTCTGCTTCTAAACTTTTAAAAACTATTTTAAATATCAAACACAATTATGAGGAAAATACTCTTCAAAGAGCAGGGTTTTTTTAAAAGTTAATGTGTCTGCCCTGCTTAATCACAAGCTGAAAGGACTACTTGATGATTATTGTATACTTCAGTTAACACTATTTCATAAAATCTGGCTTGACAGAATTATAAGATAAATTAATCAAATAATACAAAAGTTGAAAGATGTGCCAGTTGGCCCAAGCTCCAGCAGAAATCCATCAGCTCTAAGCAGCAGGGAAGGCTGCAGGAAAGGCTCTGACCCAGTGGGCACTGTGGGTCCCTGTCCAGCCATTTCTGGGTGTCAGTGACTTCCTTCAGAACACTGCTCTGACCAAGAGACTGCTCACCTCAAACACACCTCTGCTATTTGGGGTGACACTGAGGGACACAATGCAGTGGAGCATAAAGCTCTAAAGACTCCTTCTTACAGTTTAAGGTCAAGGGCTCTCACAAGGAATAAATATGATACTGAATGAGACACAGATGTTTTGCTGCCTGTTCAGTTTGCAGCTTATCAGAGCTTTATATGAAGGCACAATTTATAATACCAAGTTAAAAGCCATTACAAATAAGAAACTGTTTCCTTTAAAAAAGATCAGAGTGAATATTATTTGTTTCTCCCAGAAATAGTGTGTATTCCTGTTCTGTACAGTATCACAGTAAAGATCACTTCCTTATGACATTTGAAAATGAGCCAAACACCATGGAAGAGAGGTTTTTGTTTAGCATCAAATCCTGAAGCTCAAGTGTCTCTAAACAAAAAGCCTGTGACATAACGAAGCAAGTGAGAAAGAGTTTACAAAGTGCTAAAGAATGATTTAAAGAACATTCAATTACTGACAAATGGTGGTAAGCAAGGCCTGGCCTGGGTTGGAAGAATTCTATTCAATACCCACAGAGCTCAAATGACTTTTGAGAGTGAATTGAAATCAGTAACACTTCTGACAGAAGAATGTGAGCAGAGGTACATGTGTCTCGAGCCACGTGAAGAGCAGAAAGCTATCCTGTATTTTACATAAATCACACACTCACACAATCTTTTCCATTCCAAAATCTGAAATGAATAAATAAATTAAAAAAAAATTAAAAAAAGGGAAAAACTTTCACTAGACAGAAAGTTTCTACATGAGGCTCCAACGCTGGTAATAACCAAAGTAGTCCTTACCATCTGTCTGAGAGCTTAAGAGCAGGAACCAAAACACTAAACAAGGCACATTGACCAACCTGCTGCCACTGCTTCATTTTAGGCACATTAGTTCCATATTTGAAATGTACAGATTATTTCCACATAATTTCAGCTTTAGGTTCCCAAGGTCATGAATACACAGAACAGAAAGTGTAGCACCAGCTTTGGTTCTGGCCTTCGACTGGATGTTGATAAGTCTGTAACATGATCTAAATTATTTGTTTCTCCATACTGCAAGAATGTAAAGCATGATTTCACCCTGTTAAACATGTCTCCCAACTGTCTTTCCTTGTTCTAATGTTTGTCTTGTATAACAAGTCTCCTGTGAAACTCTCTCTACCTCCTTAACCAAGAGTTGCCTTTACACAACCTTTGAAGAGTTAAGTCCACTCAACTCTGAATTGTAGAGTACTTAGGAGAAGTTATTGACTCAAGATCTTACTGAAACCAGCTGCAGAAGTGTTGTCAGCAGAATGTAGTTATTACATTTGTGTAAACACAATGCAAACCCTGGGCTAGGCAGGGGCACGGGATCCTATTCCACACTGAAACCGATGCTGGCATCACTTACTGCAGGAGCAGTCACCAGGGAGGCCACAAAAACAGGGCTTGGACACAAGACACAACCTTCTGACCAGCCCTTAATCATCCAGCTACTGCAATCACCTATCAGCAGGCCATCACTTACCAGAACTCAGAAATGGGTTCCTCATTTCAGTAAGAGAAACTAAAGCTTCCAAATGGGTTTGTCTCCTTTTACTGACATTATGCCTTGCCTTGTCACCAGCTTAATGAACACCAGGAGCTGTTTTAGCCTCTGCAATAGTAATTTCTGGGCACAACACAGTCTCTTTGATCCGCCAGCTTTATGCTCAGAGATTCTGGATGACTGAAAATGGAACCACAGATGCACCAATGTATTTGGGACTGATGTTTTGGTCCCCATTGCCATCAGAGAACCCAGGAGCAGCTGCCTGTGGCCATGTTCTGTCTCCCAGTGGGCCCCATTAGAGCCACTGGCAGTGATCACTGGCATTGGGAACAGAGAATATTCCTGAGGCTCAGCAGGGCTGGGTGGCAAAGAGGCAGAAAGCTGCTCAAACAAAGGTGAGGAGAACTCCAGTCACACAGGTCAGTGAGTGGTACATTTGGCCAATTTACCAATTTACCAGGATTCAATGACTTCTGAGCAGAAGTTTTCTGAATAATAATTTTGGTCAAAAGTATTGAAGCTCTGCCCAAATCTCCTCTCAGAGTTCAGGTTCTCATCTACATCTGGGTTAACATAACATCTTGGGACTCAACTTATGCTGCTGGAGAATGGAATTTGTATAATGTCTTGAAAACACAAAAGCCTCAGCTCTGCAGCTGAATGACTCTTCAGCCCAGTCATTACAGAGACATGTCTGAGACACTGGCATTACTTTCACTTTCAGGGAAGTAAATAGTTGTTTGCATCATTTCTCCTCACCACCAAGAAAATTATTTGTATATTGAGTAAGTAAAGTTATCTTCACACTTTCGCTCTATTAAAAGGTTACTATTTTGAAAACCAGATTATATTTGTACGAAAAAAACCCCAATAAAAACCCCTCAGACATATCCTCATGCCCTCCAGCTGAATCACTCCTATCAAAATATTTAGTCATGATGTCTCCTGCTCACCAACCATGTCCCTCCTCTGTGCCCTACCGAAACTGAAAGCTCCACCACTTTCCAAAACCTAAAATTCCCAGATCCTGGTCCTCCCATATCAGTTCTTCTATCATACCTTTGGTCTGATGTTCTCAGCTGGCACCTCGGACATTTGGAGCTGCAGACATGTCCCAGTTGCATCGTCCAGCTCCTTGGTGCTTTCCCTCTTGAACTAGCCATAAATTAAATAACAAGCATGTAAGAGTGATTTAAACACATGCAATTATCCTATTTTGTAACTGAACAAAATATTACGTCTCACACACTACCAAAACTCAGGCAATTAAAGCCATAGAAGGTTGCTGAGCACTCTACATTTAAAGTTCAGGAAACTGCCACGTTTCCATACACTGCTAATCCCACTAAGGCTGTAATTTTCTCTGCTGCAGTGATACAACGTTCAGTGCATCTCCAAGCTACAGACCAAACACACAGCACAGACCTGGAGTACAGCAGGGGTCACCTGTGTGCTGTTCTGATCAGAGGCAGCACACTCAGACAGCTACTATCAAAAATACTGGAGCTTTTTTATTAGTGTTCAGTATCATACTGGATATTCCTTGTCGGTCAAGCTTTCTGTGCCTTGCCAAGGTTGAAGCTTTCCGTGTTCTACCTTGCACCAAACTATTTTGAAAGTTTAAACCAAAAAGACTGCACTTTCAAAAAAATTTACTTAAGAGGCTTTCCTAACATAGAGAAACACCTGCTCTGCTGAGAAACTCTTACCTTCCTTCCTGCTTTACCTGAAATGAAGCAAAAGGCTGGCCCCAGCATAACACCTGAGTATGTTCCGATGCACTTGACAGAAAAGGATTTGAAGAGAAGAAATAAGTGGGGTAGAGAGACAAGATGAGAACAGAATTGAGGACAAGGACAATAAAAGTTAAGGGTGTATAAGGTGATGTGAAAGATGTGGGAGCAGAGAGAGGAACAATAGTGGTGATGGCACAGGGAAGAATAAGAGGACAGGAATTCTTGGAGAGGGGGGTTTAGTGCTAGCAGAGACAAAGGGGTTTTTTTGATACAATACAAACGTTCACTTGCAGCCCCATTTCTGATACAGCGCTTCTCAAACTCTGCCGGGCTGCCGTGAGCCCGCACTGGATCTGTTTGCTCCCCGGCCGAAGGCACGAACCAGAGGCAGAGCTGTGCGGACAGAGCGCGCTGGGCGCGCCCGCACCGCCACCCGCCGGCGGAGCGCGGCACTGCGGCGGGACCGGCCCCAGCTCTGCCCGGGGGACCGGGCTCTCACCCCGCAGAACCCACTCTGGCAGCGGAGAGACGGCCTTTTGAAACGCACGTGGACTCCATTTGGAAAGGACATTTATTTTGTGTTGCAAAGAGCCGTGCAGGCCTTTGAGCCGTACAGCATCGCACGGGCAGTGACTGCCCCGAGCACGAACCCGAGGGAGCAGGGGCTGTTCCCGACAGAGCAGGGGCTGTTCCCGACCCAGCAGGGGCTGTTCCCGACAGAGCAGGGGCTGTTCCCGACCGAGCAGGGGCTGTTCCCGACCCAGCAGGGGCTGTTCCCGACCCAGTAGGGGCTGTTCCCGTGGCAGCTCAGAGAGCAGTGACAGCCCCTGACTTTACTGAGACAGCCAGCAGTCCAACAACCCACAGAGCAGAGGGAAGATGTGGCCATAGCATGGGCAGGCAAGTGGAAATTACTGTGGTTCAGCCTTCAGAAGGGGTGAAAGTTCTTGTGGCATGTTCTCCCCTTGGCAGCCCAGGCTTTTGAGTTTGCTGTTGGATCAAACCCAGCCCTGTGCTCTGGTCATACCTCTGCTTCACTGTGAACACACCTCTGGTCCCCACAGAGGATGATGTGACCTCTCAGAGTGACAGCTGCCCTCAGTGTCACACACACACGAGCTGAACTGCTCAGTCACCAAAATCCGCAGTGGCTGATGCAGGGGAGCCTTGTCACCAAAGAACCTGCAAAATGTGTCTCACACACTGCCAGGGTTGATCCAGGCCTAACATACAGTGGAGGAAGTTACTCAAAGCTTAGACAAGTTTGGGCTTTAACTTAAAATTTGTGATTATACAAGGCAAGAGTTTTAACCTCAACTGTGCCTTTTCATTTACACACTTAAATAGCTTCAGAAATATTAATTTAGCTTCATGACATTCCAGTGAGATATAAATTACTGTATTTGTAGTATCTAACAGAAAACTTCAGGCAATAATTCTAATACAGCACTGGGCTTGACTGCAAGTCCTCTAAGGATGTTTACCAGTGTCCTTCTTGTCTTCATCCTTCCTCTTCTTCTGTTTTTCATACTGAAAAAAAAAATAACAAACCAAAATTTTTTTGTGGGAAAAAGCACATAACTAAGTAACAGTTCATGCTGACAAAGATTTACAACTCTCTTCATGATCCACATAAATTTACCTTCGTCTCCTTTAAGTTAGATTGAAATCTGACAGGTTTTCTCTCTGCAATATAAAATAATGCTCCTTGGCAGGCACTGTGAGTGTGCCCCTCCTCTCACACCGGCCCATTACCAGCTTTCCCCAGAACCAGACTACAGCCTCTGTGGCTGAAGCAGAATAAGCCTATTCTCTTTCTTTCAGAATGAGCCTACAATTCTAATTGCAGGAGAATAAAATCAGATTCAGGCACAGTTATTGACTAGGCTGTTACTGCTGGGATTTGGCTACTGCTATAATTTTATAATCTGTGACTAATCTCTGCTTGCTCCTGTAACAATTCTCATTTGGATTTCATGGACTGGCAGAGAGAAGGATTTAACAGTCACTTGGTAAATTAAAATCAACAGATATTTAGAGGAAGCTGAACATTTGACTTGTTTCCTATACTCAATGTTACCATATCACACTCCCCAGTCAAACTCAAATCCCAGGAAGCACAGGTGACTCTCAGCTGTCTAACATAAACAATCCTCATTCTTTTATCTGACAAGCCAGCCTGAGTGGCATCTTCCAGTGCTGTGACAGCACAGGGGCAGATCCACTGGGTGAGAATTATGGCACAGGGGAGCCCAGGACCACAGCTTTGCCCCTGACCTCTGCAGCCACAGGCAAGATCTGAGAAAAAACAACAGTTCTGGAAGTTTATATAAAGTGCCTACGAGGAGTGAATCTGTTAGGAAGGCAGATGCTGCATATCAATTTATGGCTTTCAAAATGCTGTATTTGGGTTTTTTTTCCTCCTATAATAGGGTTATACAAGCCACCATTGCTGAAATTTAATAGAATTCTTCATGGAAACAAAGACTGACACAGGGACCAACTTAAATTGTTATTTTTTCTGAAAAAAATAATCTTTAGTTTATATTGATGAAGAGATTTTTTTAAACAAGAGCTGTCACAATCACAGATCCCTATTGGCTGGGTATTTCCTTTCCAGGTTAACACAAAAATTGCCTGTTCAGAACTCACTTTCCAAAGTTTTCTTCTTGTTTTGAACTGGGAGAAACCAAAACACAGACAATCTGAGGCACTTACTTTATTCATCACCCAGTCAGCATCTTCAATGGCTCTTTTAATGATCTGCTGGATTCGCTCAGGGTCATCTTCATCAGCATGAACTTTGAAACTCTGCAACATTCCAAGTGTCACACGGATCAGGCAACACAACAGTTGTCAAAATAAGGATTGCTTTTAAATCTCAGAAAAATATTTGATGCTAAATGAACTGTTGGCCTGGAAAGGTAAAGATACACATTGTAGCACCTGGCCATGCTATTTCCATAACAAATCTGGTCATATGGAATTTCATGTGAAGTATTTTACTCTTTTCATACATCATCAACAAAAACTGAAATTGTCTGGTAGGTTAAAACTGGAGAGACACGGGACAACAGGTACGATCAAAGGCATGAAATCACTTCCATATGAAGTATGGAATATGAACAGTCAGATGAGATTTACCCAGCCAGAGGGGAAGGAGATATATATTAAAAAAAGGCTGACAAGGAACCAGTAAGTTTGGCCCTAAAAGATGAGTTTATGGAGTAAAGAATGATTGTTCATCCTCTTGACTAACAAAAGAATTAGAGATGCAAGCCAATAAAAATAGAAGATTTCAGAAGCAAACAAAAAGTAATGCTCCTTCACATACTCCCACTATAACCCTTCAAATCCACTCATGTCTCGAGCTTACAAAAGAATAGTCGGTTTTATTTTTTTCAAGTGCCAGGAGTCATAAAAAGTTGGTGCAAACAGTAGGAGGAAAGCAAACGGCCCAGCCCCCGGGAGTCTGACCTGTCGGATGCTGTGTCGGTAGTGCTGGCAGACGCTCCCCTCGGGCAGGCGGCGGCAGCAGCGCAGCAGGTACCGGTACAGCTGCACCGCGCTCCGCACCCGCTCCGCGCTCGGCAGCGGCGGCATCGCCCGGGCTGCGGGACAAACACAGCACAGCACCTCAGGGACGCATTAAGGACACAGTGACAGCGTAAATAACATTAAACAGTGAAAACAGGGCCGGGGAATGGAGGACCAGCAGCGTGACTCGCAGAAGCTTTTGAGGGGGGTTGGTTGTCACTGCCCAAGGTATTGAACACGAAGAGTGGAGCTCGTGCACTCAGATCACTTGTGATGGGAACAGTAACATGTATCCCGGTATTTTACAAACAGACCCCCCGTGTAATTTTCTGTAGGCACACAGAGCTGTGTGACAGCCCACAGGAAGTTTCCATGATCCTTTGAGTCCTTCAAATGCTTTCCTTGAGCATCCCTAAGAGTTCATCCACATGGTGACTTTCCAGAATGAGAACGCTCATAATTGCTACAAATGGTGCTGGAATTTAACAATATTTCCTATTATTGTCCTTCTGTAAAGAATGTCAAGGCTTCAGCTTGAAATAATATAGATAAGTAAAGAAGAAGACAGGCAAAAACATTGTCAGGTTTGAAATTTTCCATTTTTTTGGTAAGAGCAACAGGAAAAGAACAAATCTACCAAGTTTCACCTCCATAACTATACTTAAATATTGCAACAATAAGTTCATCCAAGCTCTATAAAGTGCTAATCAAAGACTGTAAATGCCTTGTCATTTAACAGATGGTTGCCATCTGCAGAGAACCAAATTAACATTTGGAAAAAAGCATTTTATATCATTACTTTTAAGAATAAAGATAATAAATAAGCAACTGAATAATGAAGTAGGTGCGTGGCATTATTTTAGTACCTGTTATGATACTTACTCATTATTTGGAACATTTTTTTCCTTTTTCTTAAGTAATTTAAGTTCTTCAGCCAAATTTATTTTGGAGTAGAACACCACAGCTATCACATGCCTGGGCTGTATATTTGCACAGACCAGATCTTGTTGCAGTGGATAAAATCTCCTCATTATGCACCTATAAATACCCATTGCAATGGGATATGTACCACTGTAATCTGTATTCTCAGTAAATGAAATGTGCCTCGAGGAGGCTGCTTTGCTCATGGCACAGACCCCCAGCAGTCACATCTGAGCACCCCAGTCCAGGGTTTGTCTGGTCCCTGCTGAAGGGCTGCATGAACTCCAGGTTCCACTGATTTTCTGACTCCAAAGTACATCCTGTAAGAGCAGCAGGAGCTGTTGCAGGGGCAGAACTCCTCATCCACTGCACAGGTGAGAGAGCTGTGCCCCCTCAGTGTCATTGTCTGCAGGGACCCCGAGCATCCCCTGGCGGGGCTCTGCCGAGGGCGGCACTGTGGGCACACCCAGAGCTCAGGAAAACCTTCCTGCCCCCGGGAACATGCGAGGCACAGCAATGACACGTCCCAGGCCGAGGCTGGAGGAGGAGCCCACCAGGTGTGCTGGGAGCAGGGAGGAGGTGACAGGAGCTGTGCAGACTGACAGAGCACAGGCTGCTTTGGAACACCAGCTCTGCAGGGACCTGCAGAAACACAGGGAATCACAGCCACTGGGTGTTCTGGAAGCCCCTAGGGAAGGCTCTGGTGACACTTCAGAAAAAGCTTTTCCAGCCTCCAAGGGATAAGATGGCTGTCTCAAGGAAGCACTTACAAGAGTGACTGTCTCATGAGCTGATGATGCAAATCAGTAAAACTAATTCTAGGATGCACAATGGGCTTAACAGGCAGAAACCTTTGAAGAATGTATGTCAGAATCCCTTTCCTGCTCACTTGTACTGACATCTTCCCTTACATCTGCAATGGGTTCTGTGCAGTTCATTTGTGCCTTCTCAAAATCCATTTAGCAACACCCTGAATAATCAAAGCCCTTTGCCAAAGTATCCGTGTGCAGCAGCCCCTGAGAGGTGAGTGATGTGCCAGCAAAGCTCCCTCATCCCAAGGAGTCAGTCCCACCCTGCTCTAGGACCTACACCTGACCACCACTCTCTGCACTTGGAGCTTCGTGAGGTGTGTCTGCTTTGGAACACTTGAGATGTTCTACCAGGAAAGTGTGAGAAATGAGGTAAGACTCCACAATGATCCCTCCTGAGAATTATTCACAGCCTAAATACGGTTTCCATTAGCTTTCATGAACAATTAGCAAACCAATCTTCCATCATGAGGGCAATAAGTTGGCTCTATGATGCTGCTGCTGCTGCAATCTTCTCATTCTGCTTGTTTGATTCCAGTTCTGTTTTTCCTTATTTGTTTAATAAAAGCCATTTGGCTTCACACACTTCAGGAATTGGATGCTGTTCTAAAAAAAGCCCCATATGTAGGACAGAAAGATACTACAAAAATTGAGAAATACAGACCAAGAGCTGACTTTTCAAAATGGTTTCAGTCTGCCTACTTTAATGTTCCCTCACTTTCCAAGCACACAGGATGTGCTAATTGTGGCTTTAGCTAAAAAGTTCAGCTTAGAATACAGATCAAAATACCCCCAGGCTTTAACATGTTCATCTCCTGTTTTCTTCCAATGCTTTTTTCTCTGAAATATAATTTTCTCTCTGCAATGAAACCTATGCTGGGTGTCAGCTCCATGCATTTTTGGTTTGGATTCATTTCACTTTGGCATTCAAATACAGGAGGTGATTACACACCCAGTAGTCAGCAGAGATCCCTGCATTCCCCTCCAAGCAGCAGAAAGATAAGCAACTCCAAAATGTGACTCATAACACACAGACTGAATTAATCCCTGCCCTTCTCTCCATGAAACACAGAAGGAGCAGCAAAACTAGATTCTGCAGTTACAAGCCTAAATTAGCTAGGATGATTCCAAGTCTGTGTCCTAGTTTGAAAATAAAAATGCAATCATGGAATGGTTTGGGTTGGGAGGGACCTTTAAAGTGGGTATTTGAAAATAATGTAGATTAATAACAATAAGACAAAAATAGACCCATTCCATAATCTGGAGTGTAGAAAAAGTTGAGATCTGGATACTGTATCTCAAATTAAGCTTGCCTAAAATAAATAAAATATATGAGAAACATCAAAATCCACTCTTTTTTTAAATGAAAAGCATTTATGGAAGGAGAAAATTGCCCCAGTGGTAAGTCCTGCTGCTTGAAATGACAAAGCCAGGTGCACATTAGAGACAGGAGGTGAAGAGATCCCTTGTGGAAGCTCAGGGCATTACCATCACCAACCAGGACTTACCAGCATGTAAGGAGAGCTCCAAGTGAGCAGAATCCACAGCCCACCCGTGCACCTGGGGCTGAGTTAACCCCTCACTCCACTCTGGCAGCTTAAAAGATGCCTCGGGTCCACATTCAACTCTGACCCCAGTGCAAATTAGGACTGGGCACAGGGTTCAACCAGCTACTTGCACAGTGAGTTCCTATGGGAACAGGGTGTTTATCATCCAACACAGAAATCTGGAATATATAGTTGGATTCGAGTTGACCTGAACCTAAAGGTAACTTTACACACAGGTTTTTTGGGCTAGATGCTTAGCTGGTAAGAATGGCTATAGTCCCACCAACCCTAAGAACCTGACCCTGCATTTCACACATTCCCACTAAATGCAGTGAAACACCCCAAAATTCAATACAGATCCCAAAATACACTTTGGCACTAGAGCCAATTTGTGGAGCTGTTTCTAGGCTTTGATGTGTAGACTCCTCATATGTCACTGTGCTCTAATTAAACCTAAGTGGTCCAATAGATTTCCTGTCACAAATGCAGAGATCCCTCGTGCTGGGACTGCCCAGGACAGCTTGGCCCAGCAGAAAGAAAAGCAGCTCTGGGAGAGAGCAATGAGCCAGGCACAGAAACATATGAATATGGAAAGATTAAACTGATCAATGGAATTGAAAATGTTGTTTCACTATAGATAACTGGGAATTTTCCACTGCAGTAATTTTTCACAGGAAAATGATGAGCTGTTGAATCCACATCACCTGACAAATACACTTGCAACGATGAATTTTGGGGGAAAAAAAATCCTTCACCTTCCCATAAGTACTGGACTTTCTAACAGATTTGAAGATGGAAATTTTCACCTTGTCTATTATCAAACCTAAACTGCATGAGACTCCCATACTCAAACTGAAAAAAATAAACCCTGAGTTCTGACAGATTCTCAGCTCCAAAAATGCTACAGATGCTGTGAAATGGACGAGCTTCCTGGGGAAGTTTATCACCAAAGATCTATGTTTTGCTGAGAATGTAATTTCACTCCTGGCCATATCATACCACAGCACACAGAAAACTTGATGGCTATTTTGGTAAAATGGCTGTTTAATAAGAAATGATCTCATGACCTGCCCCAGTTCTAGGATACTGGGGCCCTGCATGAGCTCCCCACAACAGAGCCTAGACCCTGACAACAGGTAAGGCTCCACTCTGCCCTTGTACATCCCAAAGCACGGGAGAATTTGCACAGTTACTGCCGTAATTTGCCCCTTCCTTGACACAATGAAGCACTGTAAAAATCTGTACTGTTGCCTTTTGTTCTAAAAACATCGCCCCTTGAATCCCACAAATGTTACCATTTTTATCTGCCAAGCAAAAACCCTCGACCTCACAAAATCTGGCTATAATCCTGACTAATAATGTAAATCTCCTTCTGATAACTTAAATATCATGCACAGCACAACAAACAAACTATCTAAACCAAGAACTGTTGAGTCAGAAATAAAATAATCCGCTAATTGTGCTTTTCTGGAATGGATGACTGTATAATGTCCTAATCAGAAGGCTGAAATCACATTTGCATTTAGATAAAGCCCTGTTCAAAAAGAGACAAGTATAAAAGGAGACACTGAGACTATTGTGGCATTTCTCTGCATTGCATAATCATTTACATTCCTGATAATGATATTCAGATAGTGAAGCAAAGGCTGACCAAAGCCAATTAATCTTCACTCTGCATTAGCAGCTTGGCAATTGACCCTGTGCACAGCTGAACCTCAGTGATGCAGAGATGCTACCATGCCACTGCTCTCATTTCATTTCTTTTCTCTGCTACTGTGACTGTTTTTCAGCAATTCC